GCGGTTAGGCTATTGAGCCAAAGCGCTAGAGGAGACAACCTCGAACAAACAAACCGTGCGGCTGTTGGGGACCCGGTCGTACCCAAAATTCCCAGGTCATCTCAATGATTTTCTATTGTCTATCTGCCTAGACTACTGGTCGCTCTGCGGCTGCTGTCAGGGCTCGAGAAGATGAAACCCAAGACAGAGCGCGGTACGTGTGAGTTCGTTAGCGATCGGTTAACGTTCACCAATAAATGTCACTATCTCCCGATCTAAACTAGCAAGACAACGAGCTTGAAGCTCAATAGTTAGAAGGTGAGCGGGAGTGGTGCACCATTTGGGGTATGGCATGATTGGCTGACGATAGCTACTAAGCCAGAAATGGCATTCCGGTAGCCCTTGTCTTTGTCCATTCAATTATAACATATATATGTGTGTGTGCTGATTGGTTTGGACTCAATTCATGCACTATTTTCTGCTAGGATGGCGAACTACCATTATCATTGAACGCCTTTTGCTCCTCTTTGTCGTATGCGCAGTTTGACTTCTTAACATTGTTCTGCTGTTTATTCGAAAGTGTGCATCTGAGTAAGGTGTGTTTGCATCCTTTTTTAAAGGCATTCTACACAATCACACTCGGGGACCTGGACGCATAATGTTCTACGAGCCCTGGGAGCGCTATTCCAGGGGTAAGATCTCATGTTCATGCTTACAAGCATTTGAGTGTCATCGTGCCTCTTTCCCTCTGGCTTTAATAACATCTAGCTCTAGCCTTTACTAAAATAGTCCATCGATTGTAAGCCCCATTCTGCACCCGTCCTTATTCACCTCTTGTTGCACAGATTTGCCTTTTCAGGTGACTGCATTCACTCTGAGGCTAAATTTTGGATAACATATAGTTGTTTATGGTCATGACCACTGTCGATATACTGCCGCTTTTGTTAAGTCACATGGGCGAGGTTGTTCGATAGGAGCAAAATGAAAACCTCTCAGCAGGGCGTCAGCATAGTTCTTTCACTGTCTTTTTGGGTAGAATCCTAGTTTTGGTCCGAAATCCGCACGCGAAAGCCCCATCCTTCTGTAATACAGAAGAGTAATACAGTGTATACAGTGTAGACAGTACAAAGGAAAGGAAATATAAATAAAACCGAAGTTTATAAAAGTAGGAAAAACAGGATTAATTATTTCAGTAATCTAATTTTTGTCAACAGAAAAGCACGCCATAATTAAAATGGGCAATTATGCAAATATTGGGAACTAACTAACTAAAGAGCGTAATCTACAGTAAGCTAAACTCACTTAACTAAATTGAAAATAGTAAGCATAATAATGAACTGAAAAATAAACTGCAAACTAGACTTAAATATAAATAAGTTAAACAAACCAAGTAAAATAAACTAACATTAAGTCGTTGCGCATGTAACTTTACTAATCTCATTCCCGAATGGTAAGTTTGACCCCAGGTTATTTGAAGTAGACGACCTCCCAACCACCATTTTTCAGGAATATTAAGAAACCCAGTAAGTATAAGTGAGTAAAAGATGTAAGTAAATATATATATATATATATATGTTTATCGTGGCATATACGCGTACACCGATCTGCTAGAGGACCCGCTCTTCCGTCCATATTACCATTAGAGCTCCCACTCGAGCCTCCACCGCGAGGCGGCTAGAATATAGGCAGAAGGACATAACCAACAAAGACATGGGACACTAGGAGGGCCTTTTTTGCCACAATTTCATCGGCAACACTGGGGTTGGGTATCACTAGCCGATGGCGCCTAATGAGGCAGAAAAGGCCTTCCTAGTGTCCCATGTCTTTGCTGGTAATGTCATTCTGCCTATACGTGTCTATATATGGCGCGCTATTTTGGTGCAAAAACATTAGATTATTTAAAAAATTTCGGTGACCTAAAGTAGGATTCCACTTCTTTTTTGATTAGCGTTCATCAGGTCATTTTACACGAACACTCCCTTTCATCCGTCTTGGTCCATCTCTTCCCCCCCTCCCCTCACCTGCAGTCCCTCAAAACAGGCCTCGGCTCCGACCCAGGTGATTGCCCAGAAGCGGGAGATCTACTGTCGCCCGCGCGAAGTCCGTTCCCCCTGGGGTGTGCATGTTACCAGTGACATGAGTCCCGCCGACCTTCTGTTGGAGATCAAGCGTGCCCTGGAGTCCGTCAGGGGTTGTCAGTGGGAGGCCGACAAACACTGGATGTTCCTGCTGCACTGCGGTTGGATCGAAACCCTATCGATCGACAACAGCAACAGTGGAAATACTGATGCCCATGCAGCAGCCACCACCAAGCGCTCCTCCCCCAAAGACCTCCTGCTCCAATGGGAGATGGAGGTCTGCCAA